TTTTTTTTTTTTTTTTTTTTTTTTTTTTTTTTTTTTTTTTTTTTTTTTTTTTTTTTTTTTTTTTTTTTTTTTTTTTTTTTTTTTTTTTTTTTTTTTTTTTTTTTTTTTTTTTTTTTTTTTTTTTTTTTTTTTTTTTTTTTTTTTTTTTTTTTTTTTTTTTTTTTTTTTTTTTTTTTTTTTTTTTTTTTTTTTTTTTTTTTTTTTTTTTTTTTTTTTTTTTTTTTTTTTTTTTTTTTTTTTTTTTTTTTTTTTTTTTTTTTTTTTTTTTTTTTTTTTTTTTTTTTTTTTTTTTTTTTTTTTTTTTTTTTTTTTTTTTTTTTTTTTTTTTTTTTTTTTTTTTTTTTTTTTTTTTTTTTTTTTTTTTTTTTTTTTTTTTTTTTTTTTTTTTTTTTTTTTTGTTTTTTTACTGGTATGTTGAATTATTTATATTGCTTCTCCTTCTCCTCCACCCAAAAATTTACAGGCCATTACAGGGAGACTTGGCCCGCAAGTAAAATGAGTCACAGGTTGGCTGGCTGCACTTGGTGGTATAAGTTTTTGGTCTTGCCCAAATTAGTCACTTTCACTTAACTGTTGACACGACGTAGATGCCTGAGAAAAATCTTAATGGCTGGTAGAAATGAGTCACTTTCACAGTTAAAGCTGTGGTTTTAAACACAGGACTTTTTTGAAGATCTTAATTGTATTCCTGATACATCCCAGGTTTATTTGATGCCTTCAGTTAAAACCTGTCCTGAGTTTCGGGATCACATGGATTGTATTTTATGTGACTGGATCCCGTTCTGAATGGGAATTGACCATTAAAAAAATCTGTTTTGTTCATCTCCTAGGGTTGTAACCGTTCACTAAAACCATAATGGGATTTAAATTTCATGTTTAAGGTCAAGTTCATTTTGATGATTCATTCTCCTCTCAACAAATGGTCAAATAAATAAGTCTTGATTAAAAAATCAAAAACATATGCCCACAACAATTAATCCTCTAAAGTTTTCCTTCCTCATCTTAGTTGTTGCTGTTGTATTTGGGGGGCTTTGGGAGCGTCTGTGAGTGTGTTTATGGCGTTAGTGGTACGCCACCTGAGTTAAAATCAACTGGCAGTCACTTTAAATTGTGGTTATAAGGTTATACAATAGTGACAGCTACATCCCAAATTCCCCAAAAATTACTTTACACTGCAGTGCTAAAAAGGGTATGTGTAAGTCATACTGTACTGAATAAAAGGCATGTATGTTTATGGGAAACTTCGGTACTTTCCATCTGATCTGTAGTGCCTCTGGAAGGCGCTTCAGACAAACAGACTCAATCACAGCTTCTTCCCCACAGCAATAAGGACTTTGACCGAATTCAAATACACAGGATGAAGCTTTTATTATGGGTGTAATTACTACACTTTATGTGCAATATTCACAGTAGTAATATGTGTAGTTTTTTACCTATTACACTTATTTATTGTCTGTTATTTATTAGTGTGAGGATTGGATGGTTGAATGTAAGGAGGATGTGGTTTTAACTGTCAGCACCTTTCAGGAGTAGCTCTCCTAATTTCATTGTGTTTTTTAATGATACAATGACAATTAAAGGTGTCCTGATTCTAATTATTTTCCAGTGTTTTTGGGTCTAAGTCACTAATAGAAACAATAATTTTTGAAAGTGGTCTAGTACTGAGAGAGAAAAAAGCACTGCAGCCGGTGGCAAGACAGACCGCAATGTAACCACATGGGGCATGTTCGCATCGTCAATTTACATCCTCTAAAAATGTATGTTTTTGTTACTGACAGGCTCAGATTGTTACTATAAGTGTCTGTCAACATTATGGAAAGGATCCCTTCGGAGACCTTTTTGTAAGAGTAAGATCCTTTTTGCGGAATGAAAAACAGCCCCACAATTACCTTAGCTAAACCTACCAGACTCCATTCAAATAAACAGCAAATGTACACAACATGATAATTGCCCCTTTTTTATCACAATATATCGCTGCAACCCTAGTTCAGTATTGAGCGAGACCGCTGCAGCCAACAATGGAGAAACAGGCTGCAATGTAACCGGGGGCGGGGGGTGTCGAACAGCTAAAGACTCTGGACCCCATGGTCCAATACTTAATGGCCCTGAGTGGCTACATTGCAGCCTGTTTCTCCATTGCCGGCTGCAGCGGTCTCGCTCAGCACTGTACAAGAGTTACAGTAATATACCGTGATATGGTTTTGAAAACAAATGCAACCGGATGAAGAATCTCACCTGCACATCTTCTTTCCTGCTTGCCTGTCTGTCAAACTTTATACATATACTTCCATTACAATAATTGTTTCAAGTTTTATTATATTAAAGCTCATGGTGATAATTGCGTAATACCTTGAAGCTGTGCTATTTTCTGAGACATTTATTGTACTGTGAAAACCCCTGTGAAAGTTTAAAAACTGTTCTCTCCATTTGTCACTTAGGCACCAAAAAATGGGAACACAGAGTCCAGGTTGAGTTTATGAGTTTACAAATGTACATAAAACAGTAAAACATTTGACCCTCTCTCTTCAGGAACATCTTGCTGGCGTCGGCTCACAGAGTAAAGATTGGGGACTTTGGCCTGATGAGGGCGCTGCCCAACAACCATGAGCACTACGTCATGCAGGAGCATCGAAAGGTCCCCTTTGCATGGTGGGTGGACGTAGAGAGCAGAGCTGGACTTGCTGTACTTTAGGGATACAAGTGGTTTTAGTGGTTAGGGTGTGAACGTGCTTTAATTTATTGCGGAAAGTTTCCACAGAGAGATGTGATTGGTCAGAGCTGCATTCCAGCCATGATGATCATTCTTGTAAAACAATGCTTGCTGTTTTGTTTTGGTGTCTGTCCCAATTTTTGCTTCGGCCAAGCAGCCAGCAATCCATCTTCTTTGTACTGTTTTCATTCATGTACATGTGTGATTTTATTATAAGTTTAGAGAAACAGTGCACCTTTAAAAAATGCTTTTAATATTCAAGTTAAAGTTTGTTGTTCGTCCTGCTGCAGGTGCGCCCCGGAGAGCCTGAAGACCAGAACGTTCTCCCATGCTACAGACACGTGGATGTTTGGAGTCACTCTCTGGGAGATGTTCACACATGGCCAGGAGCCTTGGCTGGGCCTCAATGGGAGCCAGGTAAACACGCACAGCAAAGAAATATTGACATTTACAGTATGTATACAAAATGGTCTTGTAGCTAAAGTAACTGATTTATTCTTCGGTTGTCCTCTTTCAATTGTTTCTCCCTGGTCAAAAATAACCCTAGATCCTGCACAAGATCGATAAAGAAGGTGAACGCCTCCCAAAGCCTGAGGACTGTCCGCAGGATATCTATAATGTGGTGCTGCAGTGTTGGGCTCAGAAACCAGACGACAGACCCACCTTTGTCGCCCTGCGAGAGTTCCTGCTTGAGGTATGAGAGCTGTTGTTTGGGCAGCCAAAGGTGTCTGTCCAGGGCGTTAAATATATTATAATTATAAGTTATAAATATAGTGTGCCAGGGCTGACATCAAAAAACGATTTTAGTTTAGCATTGCACTGGTTCCCAGAAGAGAAAGTGAATGTGATTTTTGCTTTGCGTTTTGGATTATGACAGAAAATAAGCTCTGTGGCTAACACAAGTTTATGATACTTACAGGTTTTGTTCAGCGAGATAATCTTAACATATGAACACTTTGTGATTGCCAGAAGTAAAAAGCTAACGTTAGGCTTTAACAGACTACATGACTACTCCACGGTCGCATGACTCTTGACCATCACAGCCACTAAGCTTTCAACTGATTTTGGCCACTTTATTTTAAAAACATTGTATAATGGGGAAATCGGACTGTTTAAGCTAAATAAGAAGCTGTAATGGCGGACTGCCAGCACTCTCACCTGTTCGGGGATGATGACGTTTAATGTCCCTGACAGGGTTTGTAGTCACTTGTTAGCAACCGCCTTTTTTTCGACACGTAAAAGCTGAGGCATTTTACCAAAATTGTTGTCTTTTAAAGGTCGTGTGTGTAAGATTTGGGATGATTTAGTGGCATCTAGTGGTGAGGACTGCAGATTGCAACCACTTCAAACTTCTGGTTAGAATTCCTTCAGTGTTAATTGTTCAGGAGGTTTTTACCGTGAGCCGAATTATCCTCAGAGGGTCTTTCTTCAGACCAGGTGATTTAAACTGGCAAAAACACTGAATAAAGCAGTTTCACGTTTAAATAATAATTTTTTTTCTGACATTGTTGTCGTGGAAGAGCTGCTAACTACAGTGACTGACGCAAAAATATGAGTGGTCCTATCTAGAGTTGGTTTGTCCGATCTGGGCTAATGTAGAAACATGACAAGGCAACATGGCGATCTCTGTAGACGAGGACGAGGCTCATTCTAAGGAAAAGAAAACACAACAATTCTTATTCTCAGGTGATTAAACAGTTCAGAAAACATACATATTATATTATGTTCAATTTCTGCCAATATACCCCCCTAAATGGTACACACTGGACCTTTCAAATAGATAACTTGAAGGGATTACTTCATTTGTTTTTGTTTCTTTTTTTGCTCTAAAATGTATATGAGGCATGAATTCCCCATAAACAGATTTTAAAAAGATGTGCAGCTATTTGTGTGTGCATAGTGCACGTTCCACACACCACTTAAGAGTGGCAGAGGAGACGTACGGCCAGGACGCTGTCAGAATTGCAAAGTTTGCTTGTAATCAACCAGGTTGCTCTCTGTATCTAAAGATGCTGCGGTTAACTGAAGCTGTGGAAATGAAAGAGAGGATTAATGAAAACTGGACTCTTTGATCTCTGGTGAATTCATTTTTCATTAAACAATCAGTTGCAAGACAAAACATTTGTGTTTTGAGTGCTTGCAGATTGTTTTTCTCTCAAGACAGTAATAAGGTGATTCCCAAATGCAAGTGTTGACTAAATTTCCCAAAAAACTGGCTTCAGAATTAGTATTTAGAATATATTACTTAACTTGAGTAATCAAATGGAATACATAACAAATTACATTTTAGGGCATGCAATCAGTAATCCCTAGGTTAATACATTTCAAAAGTCATCTTAACACCTTAAGGGAGAGAGCTCAGTGTTCCCGCAGTAATCCATCATGACATAAATGGACTTTTGGCTCCACCTAGTGGAGTTACTGCAAAGCAGAAGCTGAAACATTCCCTCATGTTGGAAGTGCTTAAAGGAGATTGACAACCAGCTACAATACGACCTCATGAATCATAAATGTTTGCCATGTTAAAATTTACTGTGGTGTCTAATGTGTGTTTTTTGAGTGTCTTTGTTTGTGTGTGTTTATCAGACCATGCCCACAGACATGTGTGCTCTGCAGGACTTTGACGAACCCGACAAACTCCTGATCCAGGTCAATGATGTCATCACCATCATAGAGGGGAGGTGGGTGTTAACAAGTGCTTTAGACTTTGAAATAAGAGGCCCTCCTCCAAATCTGTACCTGCTAGCCGTATTACTCTTAAACACTGCTTAAAGGAAAAATAAAATGCATCTCTATTCCATAAATAATAACAGCCTATTGGTCTTTTCCAACTACCCAGCTCATCAATGCTCACTAATCAAAATGTATTTATTGTCTATCAAGCTAAATGCACTACACTGTAAATATTAAAATGTTAAATGTCCAGCAGATTTATTCGTTGTGGTAAAGCCCCACAGATGACTCTCCATGTTTCATCCTCAGTATTTTCTGCGTCTTTCAGGGCAGAGAACTACTGGTGGCGAGGTCAAAACAAGCGGACCCTTAAGGTCGGACCTTTCCCCAGAAACGTGGTGACATCAGTAGCGGGTTTATCAGCTCATGACATCAGCCGGCCGCTGAAGAACAGCTTCATCCATACAGGACACGGAGACAGCAACCCTCATCGCTGCTGGGGCTTCCCTGACAGGATCGACGAGTAAGGACCAGTTTATTAACATTTAGTGTCATCTGAATTCAGCACCAAACTGCACCCACAGAGGTTTTTACATGATCTAAATGTCTTCATAAATATTTATCATAATTATGCCCCATGTTGGAAGTGAGGAGTTAAAAGTCTGAGTAGTTTTTCCTGAGTTGTAATGATAGACTCTCCCCAATAGGTGGCAGTGGCACAGTATTACAGACATCTTACTGCAAACACCAAGGTTGAGTAGATTCACTGAATTGACTTTTACTGTAATTGAGTCTGTTCTCTCCTCCCTGCAGTTTGTACCTCGGTAATCCCATGGATCCTCCTGATGTCCTGAGTGTGGACCTCAGTAATGCTCAGCCCACGCAGCTACCAGGACGAGCTAGAAGTGAGTATAGGAGCTCCAAATAAATATTTAAACCACATAAGAATGATGACCATAATAAAGATCAGCAGTCTAGTAAGATCATTTTGTATCTAGAGCCGAGCAGCACAGCAGCTAAATGCTACTTCGCCATGTTTAGTTCTTACAGTAGGTGTTACCAACATGTTTCTCTGCAGTGATCTGAGAGGTGTAGCAGGTGTTGACTGCTGAAACACATTTAATGGTTTATAAACAAGCAGCAGTGCTTTCAAGTCAATTTTGTGACTTATCAGAAGCCAGTGTAAGAACTTAAAGCCACAGTGTGTAGGAATTTCTCCCATCTAACGTTGAAATCATATATTGTATTCAAACAGATGGCACACTCTAGCGCCTCACTGTTTCAAACACGTATTGCAACAACTGTAGCCACTGTGTACCAAAAAGCTATGATAACACTGATGAAACCATGTCATCCGATACTACATGGAGTATTCATTCAGGCTCCTACACAGACACACGCGACGCGAGTTGACAAACCCCCTCCTCACCATGCTGGCTGTGTTTACAATGTAGGACTGTTGGGGCGGATGTAAATTGAAACAAACCAATCACGTCTCGTCCTTTGACAACTGACAAGTGGCTCAACCTAACACACCTCATCCCTCTCCTCGCATTACTGCACCGCTAACAGCTGTTAGTGGCCAGCGGCACTACTGCCGCATAACAAAGTCCCACTCTTTGAGCATAATGCAGGATCATGTATTATGCAGCATCACGGGAGACGGAATCCTCGTCGCCAAGAAAGCGCAAAAGGGAATCAAAAAGGCAGCGTGACCGGCGAATTAAAAAAACAAGGGTCAGCATTGGGGTTGCCTTTCCCAGGTGGAGAGAGCTGCTGAAGGAGAAAGGTAATGCAATCACAGGCCAGCGGCTAACAGCTAACAGCTAACAGCGGCGCAGTGATGCGAGGAGAGGGATGAGGCTGTTAGCGACTGGCCGCTAACAGCGGCTAACAGCCAACAGCTGCGCTGGCCTGTGATTGCATTACCATTCTCCCTCAGCAGCTCTCTCTACCTGGGAAAGGCTACCCCGATGTTTTTTTAATTCGCCGGTCACGCTGCCTTTTCTATTCCCTTTTGCGCTTTCTTGGCGACAAGGATTCCGTCTCCCATGATGCTGCATATGCAAGATCCTGCATTATGCTCAAAGAGTGGGACTTTGTTTCAAATTTGCCAGGGTAGTAGCGAAGCGCCTCTTGCTCCTCTCCTTCGGCTCCTCAGTCACGCAGTGCTGGCCTGGCTCTCAACGAAAACGCCAAAGGCGGAGCTGTATGTCCCTTGCTGGCGGGTGTATTCTCAAGATGGCGAAATGTAATGGAACCCCACAGACGACTTACCCGCACAATGTACAAACAAATCCGAAATTCTCCTTTTACGAAAATAAGTCAGATTATTGGTGGAGGTAATAATACACCAGTGATGACATATTTATGAATGCAGACATCAATTTTTGCCAATAAACAACTGAAAATGTTACACAATGTCCCTTTAAGTTTCAGAGTAATGTGGTCACTTCTTCTGGTTTTCATAAGAACTCTAGCAGCTGTGTTTTGTACGAGCTGAAGCTGTATGATTGTCTTTATAAGAAGGCCTGTGAATAGATCATTACAGCGGTCAATGCTGCAGGAAATAAAAGCCTGAACAAGTTTTTCTAAATCATGTTTTGACCTGAGGCCTCTGAGTTTGGCTTTGTCTTTTGAGAGTAAAAAGATTTCTAACAGTGTCCTTTGCTTCATGTCATTTTATGTCAAAGGGTTGGAATGGCTGATCCACACTCGTTTAGCGTTTCGCTAATGAGCTAAAAGTCTTGGGCAGGGTTTGTGTGCTGACACTGAAACTACACTCTGTAGGCCTCACTTTGAAATAATGTTGTCATGTCATACCAGAATTTGGTATGGGCATACAGACACACAGCGGGCAGTGTCAGTTTGTAACGTTGCCATCAACTAACATAATGTAAAGGGCGTAAATGTATAAGTGAATATCTAGACATTTTTTAAAATAAATAACATTTAAAAGAACAAATAAATACAAAACAAGTAGAAGACAAAATGCATCTAACAAGTATAAGTGAACACACCATCCCTGAATGTCCAAAACGCAGCAGGGTACCTAGCGCGTCATACTAAAATATCTAGACATGTAGCTCCTCTGACAAAGCGGTGGTATTTGATGAGTTGGGATGAGATTGTGTTGAATATCTATCAGAGCTGTTTAACCTCTGTATCTGTATCTGTAAATGTATTTGCTCTAAATACGCCTGTCGATCACTTGCGAAATAATCAGATTCAACATTTAAAGGTGCAGCTATCCTGTTTTTTTATTAATTATTATCATTTTCTTAACATCATGGCTCGTAGGTTTAAGTTTAAAGGTTGTAGCAATGCAGATCTTGCTTTGGAAAAAAACGTCCACCAAATAACTTTCTTTTCATTTTTCTTGCTGCCAGAACATTAATATATAATCTAACATTTACGTCCTGCTTCTTTCTAATCTTCCCATCTTTGCTGCTGTCTTTTTTTCCCGTCTCTTCTTTTGCGGTGGCGGTATTTGCTTTTGATTCTCCAGAGGAGCCTCCGCCCCGCCCTCCTCAGCCATCATTGTTAATCAAGAGTAAGTCTGGTTTCTCTCAGCAGCTCCTCACCCATTGCTCCTGCCCCCTCTGTTCCCTCCTAGCTCCACTTCTCAAAGGTACATCCCATAGTTTTTGGTCTCTTCCTTTGCTTGTCTTTGCAGTGAGTCTATCACCTTCTTTTATTTCCTGTCATAACATCACTGTCCTCCATCTTTCCACCTCTGTGTCCTTCTAACAGATGTGCAGTGTCTTTGCTGTGCACAACAGGACTAACTCTGAACCTGGAGACTTTGTTTGGAGTGCGTCTTGTATTTCGTTGTGTGACCTTAAAAAGCATCAGTGTCATCACTCTCTGATTGTGTTTCAGTGAAAAAATTAACGTACTGTGTGTGTGTGTGTGTGTGTGTGTGTGTGTGTCTGTCTGTCTCCAGAGCCTTGCTACGATCCAGTAAACGACGACGAGGATCTGACTTCGGCAGGACTAAAGAGATTATCGCTTCGTAAAACGGGTTCTGTGAAAGGCTTAAAACTGAAACCTGCTGCCTGGGTCTCTGCCTCCAAACAGAGTGGCGGCCGGATTTCAGGCTCAGGCCGCAACCCCAACAGTGAAGTGTCCCTCATTGACTTTGGGGAGGAGTTCCCCTCGCCCACACCGTCCCCCTCCCCTGTGATTGAAATTCAGATTCCCTCACTGGCAAAGCTCACGTTGGAAGCAGAGAACATCCTGGACCGGACTCCACCTCAGAGTCCATCTAAATCATTGCCCCGCCCCCTTCACCCAACACCTGTAGTGGACTGGGACGCTCGGCCTTTACCTCCACCCCCAGCCTATGATGATGTAGCCCAAGACGAAGATGATATGGAGGTACGGTAGGAGGTGACACAAACCCCAGGTTGATTCAGTTCAGTTCAGGGGCTTGTGATCGATATAAGATGATATCATCTGCCAATTTAACTCAACCAGTTACAGAAGAAGATGCCATCTCCTTTCACTTAGCATCAATGTTGGATTGCTGAATCAATGCATTGATCCACATTGATGGATTGTTGCACCCCTAATGACACAGTACATTTCACATTGTGCCAGAGTTTAACAGACGTTAGATGTGTATCTCCTGTTCTGATATCAACTACATGGACAGTAACATGTACTGAAGTTGTAAATCTTGTTTCTCCTCTAAGGTGAGCTCCATCAACAGCTCGGAGCAGCAGCATGAAGAGGAGCAGAGTGAAGTCCATAACCCAGATGAGACTCTCTACTCTGGACAGAAGGTGGAGTGTAACGCTCTTGTCTCCAGGGGTCCAGACAGATCAGGCCTGGAGGACAACCTGTTTCTCCCCAGCAAGCAGAGCCAAGGTCTGTCCACCTCCTTCTCCCAGTCAGCAGAGATCTTCCAGGAACTCCAGCAGGAGTGCATGAGAAGGCTCAATGTACCGAGTGGAAGTGCTGCACGGTCGAGCTCGCCATCCCAGAGCTCAGTCTCATGTCCTCAGACTCCACAGACACAGGAGGGACACCAGAGTGTCTTCTCCTCCAATGAGGTCAGACCCCAGATCCCCCCACGTGTCCCCATCCCCCCTCGCCCCATAAAGAGGGGTGACTACACATCTGCTCGTTGGTCAAAGGATCTCTCCCTGTCACCGACGCCAGCTGACACCACAGAGGAGGTTTCAGGCTCAAACCAGGAACGACCACCTATGATCCCTCCCAGGGACCCTTTGTCCCAGCCGGGCTCCAGGACTCCCAGCCCCATGGGCCTGGTAGTGGGCTCCCCCCAGCAGAGAGTGTACTCTGTCAGCCCCACCACCATGCAGGCTCCTCTTACCTCCTGCCCCCCCACACACACCTACGGCTCCTACCTCTCCACATCTCCGGGTAAACTCATGCCTACCACACACAGCTTTGCCTCAGATCCTAAATATGCTGCACCCAAAGTGATCCAGGCGCAGGCGCAGGGGAAGGACGCCACCAGCAAGGGCCCCTGTATCCTCCCCATCGTCCGTGATGGACGTAAAGTCAGTAACACTCACTATTACCTTCTACCAGAGCGGCCCCCGTACCTCGACCGCTACGACCGCTTCTTCAGGGAGGCAGAGAGCCTGCCTGCCAGCGGTGTGGAGGAGAGGCCTTTACGGCAAGCTAACACCGCCACCGTCAGACCCATGGTGGTCAGCAGCCAGACTCTCCAAGGACACACCCAGGGACAGGGGCTCGTCCAGCCAGGCGAGCTGAAGGCTAATTTCTCCTCCAACAATAACAGCAGTCTGGGTGGGCTTCGGTCAGGGATGAAGACATCAGTTAGTCTCCCTCGCGTCTGCTCAGACGGGCTGACAGCGGCGGCAGTCACTGCTTCCTGCATCAGGACAGACGGAGGATGGAACTCAGCTGACAGGGTCAAAATGGTAAGGTCGGAGATATTTAGATTGCCTTTTGTAACTTATGATTTGAAATATACTGTGTATAATTCTATGATTTATATCGTCTCCTGAAAGGTATTTATTGCTGCAGTAATTGAAGTGCTAAGCCTGCTCACTCTCTCTCTCATGATGGATGGTTTAGCTGCAATATGAAGTTGACCTCATGTCCTCCTTAAAGGAAAACTTCAATATTCTTAAACTTGGACAACTTTTCCCAGGTTTTAGTGTCTAAGTGACTAATGGGAACAGCCATTTCTTAAAATTGGGCCAGTATTAAGAGAGAGCTGCAGAAGGCAGAAAGAGGCTGCAGAGTAATCAGTTGGGGCATTTGGCATCGTCAATTTATGTTGACTATAAGTGTTTGTTTTTTGGTCACTGACAGGCTCAGATTGTGATTGTAAGTGACTGACAGCATTATGGAAAGCATCCCTACAGAGAAATGAAGTGTTTTCTTTACTATTTGCTCAATCTTGTCTGTTAGTTATTGTGTGAAACCAAGTCCTGCTCGAGGAAAGTCTCGTTGTGAAATCAGGCAAGGAGTCACTTGTTGCAGGAGGACAACTGTAGAAACGTTAAGTGAGAGCTGGAGTTGTGTTGGTGTGTTGGAGTCAGGGCTCGACAGTGCCAGTATTTCACATGCATTTGCCCCCTAAAATAAATACATATGCAAACCTGAAAAATCATTTACAAGCACAGTGTGATGAAAATGACTCAGACAGAAGGCATCCGTCTCTGTATTTAATGTTAAGCATAAATGAGTTCAAATTTCTCGGGGTCTTGTTCACGAGCGAGGGTAGAATGGAGTGTGAGATGGATTGGCGGTTTGGTGCGGCTTCTGCAGTGATGCAGGCGCTGCGCCGATCCATTGTGGTGAAGAGGGAGCTGAGCCAGAAGGCCAAGCTTTCGATTTCCTGGTCTATCTACGGTCCAACCCTCACCTATGGTCATGAACTCTGGGTAGTGATCGAGAGTATGAGATCGCAGATACAAGCGGCTAAAATAGGTTTCCTCTGTAGGGTGGCTGGGCTCAGCCTTAGAGATAGGGTAAGGAGCTCAGACATCTATAAGGAGCTCGGAGTAGAGCTGCTGCTCCTTTGCATCGAAAGGGGTCAGTTGAGGTGGTTTGGGCATCTGATCAGGATTCCTCCTGGGCGCCTCCTGTTGGAGGTGTTCAAGGAACATCCAACTGGTAGGAGGCCCCAGGGTAGAACACACTGGAGGGATTACATATCTCATCTGGCCTGGGAACACCTTGGGGTCCCCCAGGAGGAGCTGGAAAGCGTTGCTGGGGAGAGAGATGTCTGGGGTGCTTTGCTTGGCCTGCTGCCCCCGTGACCCGGCCCAGGATAAGTGGATAAAAATGGATGGATGGATGAGCCCTTAGAATAACAATCTGAACCTGTCAGTGGCAAAAAAAAGCTCTATTAGTGGACGTACGTAAGTGCTGCCCTCTCACTCAACACAGGACCAACTTAAAAAGTAGTTATCTCCACACAAAAACACAAGAAAATAGGGTTTAAAAGGGATAAGAAGTACAGTTCCTAAATTAGATTGTCAGCTGTTCTTTGTTTGTGATCACTAGTGTGAGAGAGTTTGGCTTTATTATAGTGAGATGACGCTAAAAGCTGAACCATCAGTGCGATGTTCAGTTTAATACAGCAGGATCAATTTTAAATGAAATGAAATGAATAGATTGCGGTGCATATTTGATATATTACTTGCTTGACTCCTCAGTTGAAACTTGTGTATTCTCACAGTTAATTAACCTTTTGAATGTGTACATGTAAATATTAACATTATGATGTACAGTATGCTACATTCGCCTGTACTCTAAACACAAGGGGGAAACAGACTAATTTTTATTGGTCGTCCACTCGGACCACAGCTTGTAGTGAAAATAGTGTGGTGTATGTGTGCATTTCCCCTTTTGGTAGAGACAGAGAAAGAACAATTTGCAATTTCATTTTCAATACAATTGCTCAAATCTGTCATAATTGAACAGATAACCTCCCTATTCAACTTCAAATCATTATCAGAACCAAATTATGATTGATGTGTAATAGCACAATAACATTTTCAGACTGGAGCTGAACTTATGAAAGCGGATGAAACAGACTAATTAAACAAAGTTGCTTTTGAATATTATTTCAGCACAAAACTTTATGGCATAAAAACACTTTTTTTTTTCATTAGCGTCACAATGAAAAAGGACAATAATGTCAAAGCTCCTCATAACTTATTAAAAAATATGCCAGCGTTCTCTGGAGACAAAGGCCATATTAATTTTTGCTGTGAATTCAATTTAAAAGACGAGGAACCAGAGTTTGATTGATTCTTTTTTTGCTGGTCAGTTGATCCTGACACCGATTGAACCTGATTTGACTGGAGGCAGGATCACTCCACATCAATCAGGCACTTGGCATTTTGTAGTGGATACTGAGATGTGTGGCTGCACACGAGGGGCAGTGGGAATGTGGCATTGTAAATAAACTGTGCTGCAAAGAGTTCAATGCAAGAAGCAGACGTGCACTAAACATTCACAAGCTTCACTGCCAGTGAATGTGAAGTACATCACAAGCAGGAACACAGTGTTAGCGTTAGCTTGGTGAAATTAGAGTTAGCTTTAAAGAACACTTAACCCTCCAAAATGATAATAACCAAAGAAACATCATCCTTTCAAGTAGAACAATTTAAGGCCTACTTGATTTTCAGATTTGGAAGTGTTTGTACATAAATTGATACAAATGGTGTCATCTTAACACAACCAGCCGTGTGTACCGCTGCTCCTGAGGTAGATGTTGACGGCAGTACTGAGGAATCAGAGTCAGGGGAATATGAGTGTTGCTGGATGTTGCAGATACTTACACTGTTGATGTTGTGTCAATCGATTCAGGTGCAGGAGGCAGTTCACGGTGTGACAATAGAGGAGTGCCAAGCCGCCCTCCAGAACCACAACTGGAATGTCCAGAAAGCTATTTATTATCTAAAGGTGAGAACGTTCATCATCAGCACACTATAAAAACACACTGCAGCCCATTACTATAAAACTATATATTGTTTCACTTGGGAATCCAAAATCAGAAAAAAGTAGCAACAGTTTTGTGTGAAAGAAAATAAATCCTGTGCCAAATATAGGCGTGCTGATTTCAGTGATTTATCATCACAAAAAAATATCAAAATCAAATTAAGTTCACGGCCCGTTTTTTCATTTCCAATTTCCGACTTGAGCAGAAAATCTTAAGTCCAAAATAAACAAGCTGTTATTTGTTTTTGGGATTCTTCATTGAAATTGAAAAGAAAATGTGACACATGAATTTTAGACATGCCACCCTTCATATTGTCTCAATGTGTATTAATGGTTCCTTTCTTAGAATGTAAAAAAGGCTAAAAACTTAGAATATTTAGTTTATGATTTGCATAATTAAAACTCAAAAAAGGCAAGGAAAAAGAATAACGCAATACAGTGCAGGGAGAAGCAAAAAACCCAGAGGGTTCATTTGAAACCTCCACCTAATAAACATTTTAACAAAGTTATTAAAAACTCAAAAGTACATTAAAAAAAGGATGAATAAATTAATTAAGTTTTGAGAAGGCCACTCTATTTTTTTTAAACCAACTGTTAATTTGTTATGCTGATCTGTTCTGTACGACATCTATTGCACGTCTGTCCATCCTGGAACAGGGATCCCTCCTCAGTTGCTCTTCCTGAGGTTTCTACCGTTTTTTTTCCCCGTTAAAGGGTTTTTTTGGGGGAGTTTTTCCTTATCCGCTGCGAGGGTCATAAAGACAGAGGGATGTCGTATGCTATAAAGCCCTGTGAGGCAAACTGTGATTTGTGATATTGGGCTTTATAAATAAAATTGATTGATTGAAATTGATTAGAGGTTAAAGGAGAAGTAATTATTTAATTTAGTTTAGTTTAATTAACAAGGGACAGTGCAAATTAATAAATAAACACGGTATAGAAAATGTCAGAATTAGCCAAAAGGCTTTTTTCCATCTGTGATGTTGTTAATAAATTACAACAAACAAACAAAAAACAAAATGACACAGAAAAGAAATATGTAACAGGGCATACAGTTTAAGGGTGTGTTCACACCAGGATAGTCCGGGGGACTCGGTTCAATTGGGCGGGGAATGCCAAAACATTTCAGACCTTCGTTTGATTTGGTTCACTTTCTCACTGACCAAACCGTCTGGACAACGTCACGCAGTTACAACAGCTGCGCGTTAGGGGGCGGTATTGCCCGAAATGACCACTGACCAGGAAGAAAAAAAGCATGAGGAAGAAGAAAACCCGGCTCATCGATTGGCCAGGACCGAAAACGGAAATCCATCCCCTTCAGCCGGCTTGGTCACCACAAAAACACCAAAAGGCACTGTGCTCTCCATCACTTCCTCTCTTTGGTTCACTTCCTCTCTTTGGTTCACTTCCTCTCTTTGGTTCGCTGGATAGTCCAGCATTGCATTTCCCACTGTAAGGTAACCGCACCAGGGTTCACTGAACTGAGACCCCCAGTTCTCAAGCGGACCAGGGTTCGCTCGTTTGGTCTGCACCAGAGTTCCAATGAGAATTCACACCACTCCAAACGAACCGAACTATCCGTGGAAGCGGACCAGGGTTTGTTTAAAACGGACCAAATAGTGCCAGTGTGAATGCGTCCCTAAAAGACGTCTTTGAATACATCAACAAGAAATGATTTTAACATGATTTTTTAATCACAAGAATTTAATGATCATCAAAAGTGTGACTCAGTGTTAAAATCTGAGGCAAAGTTGATGCAGTGTTAAAGGACATACAAGTTTTAAAAAGAGTTCAGTGCTTACACGTTTATGTATTAATTGATGTATTCAGTTATATTTTTGACACATCTGATTACCCTTTACTACCTCTTGTTAGTTTTTTTATAGTGTCAAGTTCAGGACATGAGATAAATACTTACATAGTCAGGAGCAAATAAAAACAATATTAGTCCCAAAGTGTTAATAAAAGTAAACACACAGGAAGTCAAACTAAGCTGGTTAAACAAAACTTTACGCAGCATAATGGGCCACAATCATTTAATACCCCATCAGAATAAAGACCTAATAAAGTGGATGTTTATGTCGCAGCGTTGCAGTTACTAACAGAGAAGCAGAGTCATCAGAGGTAAACAGTGCTGAGCTGCAGACGGGTCCTCAGAGATCCACATCACTGCAGCTCAGGTCACAACTTCACTCCTGCTCTGTAATAACTTTTTTTTTTGTACAGGACATGACTTCAAACAGGTTGTCATTCAAAGTTGCTGCTGAATTTTACTTTATTAGTTCACATCAAGAAATGATAAGAGTTACTTGAACCTTGAGGGAGGATCAGGTCATTACTGGTGCAGTGAGCTGACTATAAATAAAAAGAAAACAGCCTATAGATTCACTGATGTGTCTCCAGCAGTGTTCAGCACCGTTAGCCGCCTGTGTTCGGGGCCACTGTGGCAGGATGGAGGAGGTGTGTGGATGGCAGTGGACACGAGGGAACACTCAAGCGCTCCTTAATAGTGGCGGCAAAGTTTAGACGATACAGAGGAGACGCTGCGCTCGTATTATGACGGACATAATATTACAATGAGCTCACTGCTGCTGCAACACACTCTCATGAAGGAGTTAAAAGAAGATGCAGCTCTTTTCTATGACGGTCCCTGACAGTGTGACCCTGCTTTATTGTCCCATCTCATCCCTCCTATTCGTCCCTCCTGCTGGCTCCTTTGAACACCTGTGTTTTAACTTTGTTATCCGTCTCTCTGCAGGTGGAGCAGTTGTTCTGTTTGGGTCTGAGGAGCAGGTCAGAGTGTCTAAAGCTGCTGGAGATGTGTGACTGGAACCTGGAGGTGGCCAGCACTCAGATGTTAGATAACTATGGATCCACAACAAGACAGAGGTACTGTGTCCTGTAGCTTTGTTTGCTGAACTTTGGGCCATGACATCCCACACACAAGTTACACAGTCACATGTAACTTTTAATGGGCTGTTCTCTCGTATCACTGGCGAGCAATGACTATCCATCCATCCGACTTATTAAATACTTAGGCTTTGTCACTTCATACAGCACCAAGAGACTTTAATGTACATTTAAAAGAATACTTCACACCCCAAATGACAAGGTGTGTGTCAGTTGCTCACCCTGTGCTAGGCTGAATTAGTTAAGAAAACTATTTTCTCATGCCTCCGCTGTGAAGCCATAGGGGTCCACATTTAACAGCAGCAAAACTATACCAAAACATGACTTTAAAGACTCTCAAACAACTTGTGCAGTATAATCCAAGTATTATTTATCAGGTCATGAGCTCAGTACTTATCAAACAGATGGCCTTTTCCAACGGGGAACTGAACACAAAGTGAAACTTACCTGAGCTCTCTTCAAAGGCAGACTCCATTGACAAAAACAGTATTTTTTTCTCGCTGAACACAGGAGCTGCTAGTCTACCACTGCCTCCATCAGTTAGTCTGTTTGTGTTATTGTGTGACTTTGGTGTTTTAAAGGGTCAGTTTGGATACACAAAAGTCACACAATAACACAAACAGACTAACTGATGGAGGCAGCAGTAGACCAGCAGCTCCTGTGTTCAGCGAGGCAAAATTCTTACTTTTGTCAATGGAGTCTTGCATTGAAGAGAGCTCAGATAAATCCTCTCTAACTCAGCCAGGACGCCAACGTCCTCGCTCCCCCCCTCCTCTGTTAAATGGTATCTCCCAGGCACACTACATCATCAAACCATATGATGTTTGGTGTTGCCGGATTCAGGAAGCTCTCGACTTTTCAAAAATAACATAATTTTTCTTTTATTTATTATGTATTTAGCAACAGAGCAGCCTAAACACAAAAAGTCCACAATCACGATGACAAGTCATGTCATGCCGTTTTTCGACGGGAAAAGTTAAAGGATTACTCGCGATCTATTATAAAAGGTACCACTATTTTTGGCTGAGATATACTGTCTAGAAAGTGGGATCATAACTTTCACGTTTCATATGGCTTTATTTGGTGATATTTTATGGTATTTCTATGTCAAAAACAACATCAGCTATCATAATCACACCTGATTTCAATAAGGTACAATGTTAGAAGCTGGCTGAGTGTTGTTTGATCACTGATAGTACTGTTTTGAAGCGGAGTGACCGACCTTTTGGAGCTCCGCCTGGATCTTTTCATGGAAAAAACACTGTAGAATGGTCATACTTTGAGCAATCTTCTTCAAATCTGAAATGAGTGTTCATTGATAGTGTGCCTACAGCCCCATAGTGTCATTTACCTGCACAGATGAAGCCACAGACAGTTATTCATCCTGAAAATCATTTTTATTTTATTTTAGGCAAAATCTTCAACTTTTTACTGACTTCAGTGGCCCATTACTCTGTCTCTGTATCACCTAGGTTCAGACACTACAGTCATTTTAATTTGGGTATGTCATTTTAGGCGTTTTTGCTACAAAATGGGGGTGGAGTGCAAGAGGATAAGGTTCACTTTTTGTTCTGTTCACCGTTGGAAAGAGCTGTCTGTTTGAGAAGCATTGAGCGTACAAATGCATAAATGAAACTAGGGCTGGGCGATATAGACAAAAATTCATATCAGTATTTTCAGGCTGACTGGCGATACACAATGTATATCTCAGTATTTTCTACAAAATGAGCTACATGTTTTCAGTAGCAAGTCAAAGCCACATTTAAGATGTCACACGCACTTTTATTTAAACAGACTGTGATCAAAATAAAATGCAGACAGGGATTTTTTTTCCCCGTTTGAAAATATACAGCTGCACAACATGTCAGTGAAAAATTGTATAAAATAAACTTTTTGCACACATCACTGGAGCTACAGAGGTTTAAAGGGTTGCAGCACAGGACACAAAACTGTAACATGAGTATAAAAGTATCAAGTAGGTTTGAAACAATTAAAAATCTTTGTGAGGGAGTTAAAAAATCATTTTCCATCTGTTGGCCTTTCAAATGAATCTAATGCTGGAAAATAATATAATATTTTATTTATTTAGGTTATTGATCTCATTCATGCACCGCATCAACAGAGAGGCCGAGGGAGGGAAGGAGAGACTCTTTGTCTGCATCTTGTATATGAAATTAACCGTCATCCAGGCGCTGTCTCAGTGTCACACATTAGACTACAGCTACCAAGAAGATCAGCGATGCGCTATGAACCACCTCGCAAACAAACGCTCACCTGACACGATCAAGCAGCTCTGTCTCCCACACATGCAGCACAGTGCTGTACTGCACATGTACTATTACAGTCATTTCATCCATCACAGACTGATTTAGCATCACACGTTCAACACGTAGACCGATGTCTCACTGCAGATTGAACAGAGGAGCAGCTCTGTGAGAGAGGAGAGATTGCTGGTATGCATTATACGATGCAACGTGACCCTGTATCGATACAAATGGTGTTGTCTAAATTTATATCTTGTTTGAAAATGTATATCTATATATAGTACATAGTCATTATATCGCCCAGCCGTAAATGAGACTTTGATCATACCAGACAGATGTTTCATATTGCATCTGTGGCATTTTGTCTGTCAGTGTGACAGTTAAGCTCATTGAGCACGTCTGGCCGTTCTGTCACTCGACAGCAACAAGACGTTGCTCCACATGATGGCACGGGGTAACCTTTGTCACATCTGTCTTTGGACAACACATCATTTAAATATCTGGTTCCTAGCTCAACCTAATTGCTGACAATGTTCCCTCCACCAAAATGATTTACTGTAAGTTACCTGAAAAAGTTAATAGCAGACATAAACAGCAGGCAGACAGGCAGCAGACTGATGCAATCATGGTGTGCTCCATTAATGAGGCTAGGAATCATATTTGGCTGCAAGACTGAGAAGGTTTTCTGCTTTGCTGATCTTTTCTATAGAATTATATATATATATCTACAGTACAGGCCAAAAGTTTGGACACACCTTCTCATTCAATGCGTTTTCTTTATTTTCATGACTATTTACATTGTAGATTCTCACTGAAGGCATCAAAACTATGAATGAACACATGTGGAGTTATGTACTTAACAAAAAAAGGTGAAATAACTGAAAACATGTTTTATATTCTAGTTTCTTCAAAATAGCCACCCTTTGCTCTGATTACTGCTTTGCACACTCTTGGCATTCTCTCCATGAGCTTCAAGAGGTAGTCACCTGAAATGGTTTTCCAACAGTCTTGAAGGAGTTCCCAGAGGTGTTTAGCACTTGTTGGCCCCTTTGCCTTCACTCTGCGGTCCAGCTCACCCCAAACCATCTCGATTGGGTTCAGGTCCGGTGACTGTGGAGGCCAGGTCATCTGCCGCAGCACTCCATCACTCTCCTTCTTGGTCAAATAGCCCTTACACAGCCTGGAGGTGTGTTTGGGGTCATTGTCCTGTTGAAAAATAAATGATCGTCCAACTAAACGCAAACCGGATGGGATGGCATGTCGCTGCAGGATGCTGTGGTAGCCATGCTGGTTCAGTGTGCCTTCAATTTTGAATAAATCCCCAACAGTGTCACCAGCAAAACACCCCCACACCATCACACCTCCTCCTCCATGCTTCACAGTGGGAACCAGGCATGTGGAATCCATCCGTTCACCTTTTCTGCGTCTCACAAAGACACGGCGGTTGGAACCAAAGATCTCAAATTTGGACTCATCAGACCAAAGCACAGATTTCCACTGGTCTAATGTCCATTCCTTGTGTTTCTTGGCCCAAACAAATCTCTTCTGCTTGTTGCCTCTCCTTAGCAGTGGTTTCCTAGCAGCTATTTGACCATGAAGGCCTGATTGGCGCAGTCTCCTCTTAACAGTTGTTCTAGAGATGGGTCTGCTGCTAGAACTCTGTGTGGCATTCATCTGGTCTCTGATCTGAGCTGCTGTTAACTTGCCATTTCTGAGGCTGGTGACTCGGATGAACTTATCCTCAGAAGCAGAGGTGACTCTTGGTCTTCCTTTCCTGGGTCGGTCCTCATGTGTGCCAGTTTAGTTGTAGCGCTTGATGGTTTTTGCGACTCCACTTGGGGACACATTTAAAGTTTTTGCAATTTTGCGGACTGACTGACCTTCATTTCTTAAAGTAATGATGGCCACTCGTTTTTCTTTAGTTAGCTGATTGGTTCTTGCCATAATATGAATTTTAACAGTTGTCCAATAGGGCTGTCGGCTGTGTATTAACCTGACTTCTGCACAGCACAACTGATGGTCCCAACCCCATTGATAAAGCAAGAAATTCCACTAATTAACCCTGATAAGGCACACCTGTGAAGTGGAAACCATTTCAGGTGACTACCTCTTGAAGCTCATGGAGAGAATGCCAAGAGTGTGCAAAGCAGTAATCAGAGCAAAGGGTGGCTATTTTGAAGAAACTAGAATATAAAACATGTTTTCAGTTATTTCACCTTTTTTTGTTAAGTACATAACTCCACATGTGTTCATTCATAGTTTTGATGCCTTCAGTGAGAATCTACAATGTAATAGTCATGAAAATAAAGAAAAAGCATTGAATGAGAAGGTGTGTCCAAACTTTTGGCCTGTACTGTATATGATACAAATTTTTCCTCTCACCTGTGGAGAGGTCTAGACTGTTATGGTGTGAGTTGCAGAACGTTGGCACTCTGCTCCGAAAAATACATTTGAAAAGCTCAACATCAATGTCTCTTTCCAGAAATCATGACCTGGTTACTTAAGATAATCCACAGACCTTGTTGTGAGCAGGGGGGGGCATAATATAATGGTAGGGGAAACACTGGGGTATTATTGTGAACAAGATGATATGGCACACACCTATTTGTAACATGTCAAAATCATTTTTACGAGTGAAAACTAAATCACTTCTTGTCTGCCCTTCTTATTCCTATTAAATGTTAAAAGGGCTGGCCCTAGTGTGAATCTACTCTGAGACATGAGGCTGAAGACAATGATAAAAAAAAATTGTGTCCTCCTCGGCTCAGCTGCAACAGTAGTTAGCTCAGTGTTGCTAGGTGAGCTAGCAATAGATTCACACTTCCTTCTGCGCGATGATACAGTTGGCGGGTGTAGTTCGGTACAAAGAAAATTGTTCCCACATGAAACTGCTCACAACAAGGTCTGTGGATTATCTTGAGTAACCAGGTCATGATTTCTGGAAAGACACATTGCTGTTGAGTTTTAAAAATGTATTTTTTTTTTTTGGCACTTTGAGCACCACAAGCTGAGTGCCATCTAGTTCCATTATAGTGGAGAGAAGGCAGACATCTCTACAGCTGATATCTCCAACACTCTGCAACTCACAGCAAAACAATCTAGACTGATGAGAAGCACTACAGGTAAGAGGAAAAATATGTAAATTTGACTTTGGAAGTCAAGGTCTTTCTTCTAAGATAATGTAAATATCATTAAAGTTCAATTTTGAGGATTTATTATTTCATCTCGTGATATTTTTTCGATCTAATCTAAAGCTTCTTTATATTTGCAGACGGTGACAGAGATCAGAAGCCTCCGAGCTCTGATTGGAACTTCATCCTCAGTCAAACATCATCAGAGGAGGTGAATCTGCTCCTGACCGTTCCCATACACGCTTCAGACACGCCTCCAATCAGAAGACTATTATCTGACCACAGAAGAATCAAGCACACTTTCACTGAACTAGCACAAAATACCAAACTTTACGATGGCTCCATTCATACTAAACACGGACAAAAGACAAAAAATATTTGGTCTGAAAGATATGTGATTGTTGCACTTCTTAAGAAATTTATAGACTGCCATGTACGCCCTTTTTTTAAGTCATTCAGAGACAAAAATGACACTTCAATTTCATTTAGTCAGCCTAACAGGTTCCCAACAGAGTCAGAGATCCTGGGTGCTACCATACTGTGTCAGAGCCACTTACTGGTATCCTCACTGCCGCTATTACACTGTTGACCAACTGCAGAGAGACACTCTAACCTTTCTTTTGTTAATGTTAGAGAGCTGGTTTGAACATGAATGTGAAGAGGCCACAATGAGTTTAATAGCACAATCTACACAGTAGGTCCACACTTTCCCACCAGGTCACTGTATTTAGTCAGAATATGCCAAGAACTGGTTCAGTGTGACTGAACAGTGTTAGGATTTAACCGAGATACTGTAGTGTTAACAGATTTTACCTCTGCCACAGAAAAGCACAACAAAATACAAAACTAGAGGCGCACCAATATTTTAGATAAGAATTTAGCTGACAGCCGATACCGATGTTTATTTTGTTTTGTTATTTATTCGCCCCTCTGTACCAGAGAAACAAAGAAATCTTTACATAAAAAAGTCATTCAGCCCTTCATTACACTATCATTAAATGAGCCCAAATCTAATCATACAAATTTATGAAACAACCTTTGAAACAAACACATTCTTAACATAAAAAACATATTTTAAAAAACAAGTGCTTCAAAAGCCATTTCACTATAGTTCCCTCTCTAATATCTATCTTATGTTGCTGTAAAAACATTAACAAACAATAGTTTCTCACCAAAAGCTAAATTTTACAAGCTAACATTGAATGCATCATGAGAACATTATTATTCCCTTCACCCGACACATAGAGCTGGAACGCATCACAATGTAACTCAGTGCAACCTCCGTTAGCTGTTAGCGCCGGCTACCAGCTGCTACCAGCTAACGTTAACTTGCTATCCTCCTGCTGATGTCAAAACGCATTTGATGTTCACAGTGTAGCATTATTAGGGGAACGATAGAGTGTGTCCCCAGATAGTGAGTTTACAGGGGGGCTGTGGGTCAGGAGCCAGAAGAATGGCGGTTCAATCCCCGGCTCCTCCAGTTCGCATGTCGAAGTATTACTGGGCAAGATACTCAACCTCAAATGCTCCTGATGTCTTTGTGAGCATGTGTGAATGGTAACTGAGTAGCAGGTGGCACCTTGTACTATAGCCTCGGGCACCAGTGTGTGAACGTGTGAATGTGACTCGTAGTGTAAAAGCACTCAGAGTGGTTGGAAGACTTTAAAAGCACTATAGAAGTGCAGGTCCATTTGTCCTTTGTTCCAAAGGTGTCCTGTGGAAGATCTCTGTTTGTCTTAAACGTGTTTGCTATTGTCCTTGAGACAACGGGACGCTGTTAGTCTGGAGCTTTGATTTGTAGCCTGCTCAAAATTGATGGAAATGGTAAATGGACTGCACTTGTATAGCGCCTTCCTAGTCTTCCAATCACTGAATAACTATTATACAGTGACACTGACACCAATAACTACTAAGTGCTTTGTTGTGGGGGGACACACCAATTTGCTTTCAGAGCTAATAGACCCACAGAGGACGCCATTGCTACAGCTCCCCACACCACCCTGACCCACCTAGAGCAGCAGGGCAGCTATGTGAGGCTGCTCTTTATCAAAGTGCTGTAACACTACATGTCAAATTCATCCATTCACACACACATTCATACTCTGGTGCCACCTGCTACTCAGTTTTTAAGACACTCACAGCCATCAGTGGCAATTTGGGGTTCAGTATCTTGCTCAAGGATACTTTGACATGTCGACTGGAGCTGACAATGTGTGCCCCAGTGTGACATGACACAACGGAGAACATCGGCCACTGCCACCTGCATGTCATCTTATTTGCCGATAGCGGTCAACAGGGTGAATATCGGCTGATAAATCGGTGCATCCCTTTACAGAACTAACACATCATTTGCTCTTTAACAGTTATAAAGAGGGGTGTGGATGAGATGAAGAAAACTGTTTGCTGCTGAAAGACTGTGGAGTCCAAAAAAACATGGAACAGAAAAATTTCTCTACAATTAGGTAAAGCTCATATTCTCCCCCAGAAGTGTTGACCTGAATCTAAAGATTTAATGGAAACAGATGATCAGGGAAGCAGTTAGTCCAAGTTCTACTTCTTCTGCAGACCCACAAAACTGTCAAATATATAATCAAAGAGTATAAACAATATCCCCTTTATAAAAATTTATGTTAAGAAAATACTGATAAATTTTAATATATTTTGAACACAGTGCTCAGAGACAAAAGAAGACTGTTATGTTCATTACAAGCCACTGTATAAATTATTCAGATGTGTCTCTCCTCACTAATCCATGACTGCCGCCACATGTGGCTCGAGAACAAAAAGGCCACGCAGTCAGTGGAAACTTCCTGCGCCAAGATACAGTCTCTCCTTATTCCTTCCCTCTAAGCACTTTGCCCAAACAGAACTCCTGCACATCAGCTGAAACTCCTGCCAGCTGGGGGTTTTCTGCAGACTCCGTTGGCAGCTAATAACAGCAACGTAGTGAAATTCACCCCAAGGCACAGATCCTGTCCCATAATCATCAGTTAAAACCACAACTGTGATATTTTGGTCAGCAGCTTTGGGGGCAATAATTTAACACTGGGAGGACGTGTCAGCTCTGTGCAAACTCACTGCTGGATGTGACAGTACACTTTGTGACTAGGTATTGTTGCAGCGGAGCCCCTCAGCTGTGAACGCAGGAAGCTTTCAGGCCTTTTGTTCTCTGGTTTTATTCCTGGGGCCAGATGCGTAAAACTCTGCATAGATTCATGACTGTGTATGCACAGACAGAAATGTGCATGTGCATTCTTTTGGTCAAATTTATAAAGCCGTGCGTACGCATGCGTCTGCTTTATCTATCTCCATCATTGTGAAACTAAGCACAACCTGCACAAGCCCAACATGGTGTGTCCCCCCCTCTAAAATTCACTTTCCTTTAGTCAACCACGTCAAAAAACAATACTTGACAAGTAACTATGGTCGACTCAACACACATGATCTTCAGGTGCTATTGAAAGAAGAACTGTTTGCCAACTGGTACCAAACTATTTAAATGACAATATAAATGATTATCCTTGTGAACTCACTGGCTCTGCGCCCACCAGCCCCTCATGTCCACGAAAACCCCAGTATGTGACAGGTCTGAGCTCAGTTTGCTCGTGCACAAACTTCAAATGGCCGCTGAAAAGCAAATATGGATCCACAACCAGCCGGCTATCTGCCTGGGAACATTAAGAGTCTTTGAAGAAAAATAAAAAGTGTGTTTGGAATTTATTTCTAAAGGATGTACAGGACTGACTTTGGATGACAACCTCCAGTAAAAGCTTTCCTCCCGTGTGCAATAAGGCTGCTGTGAAACCTGTAACCTCCCAGTCTGTCCATCCATCAGTGCCATGCAACTTTCATCTCTGTCATCGTGTGTCCCAGTAAGTGAAACACAGGAAACACTGTTCTCAGTATAAAGTGTTTGGTGACTCTGATTTCCTCCCCACAGTAGGATCAAGTTGTCCTTAAACACTGATCCAGTTTTGCCAGTTTTCCCCTCTGATGTGTGTTTGGGTAAAGCTGACTGTTAACCGGTGCGAGAGGACGACTGGATGTGAGTGCGGCCCCCACAGTCTGTTCATGTGTTGTTTGTCTTTATACCAAGCTGCTGTAGTTGTATTGAAGGACTGAAGTGAACCTTGTGGTGTTATGATCAACCTGAAGCAACATTCTCCTGTTGTGGTGTTGACACTCTGTTAGAAATCTCTGTTCAGTTCTCTTTAGTCTTTGTTACTTCAGATACCGTCTGCTATGTTCAGTCATTCATATCGTTTTTGCTGTTTTTCTTTTCTCCTTCAATCCAACTTGCCATTTCTTCCTCATTTGTAAGTATTTGCTTCCCAGAATGTGTTTTATGTTTAATGCCTACTGTACAGTTGGTTCTCATTGTTTCTCCTCTCCTGGGTTGATGGAAATGTTCAAGAAAAGTTCATGCTGCCGAATTTATAAATGTATTTTTTATTAAAGAATTAATTATTTTTTACCTCCTTTCTTCTGTTTTTTGTTAACATGTTCCACACGGCACTCAGATACACAAGAGCTAATAATTAAGATAAGACCAATACTGTATTAATTAGCATTTAGGTATTTTTAACGGACACTGAGCTGTTTTGGTCCTTTTACTCCACAAGAACAGACACCTATGTTTATATGAGCTCATCAGTTTTTGTTAGTAATACTTATCAAATGTGTAATGGTTAAAGTACTAAAACAAGTAATACATTAATAAATCATCAGAAAAATAATGATGAGAGAATAATCTGTGACCTGATTTAAGTCATTCATCAAGAATCCAAGGGAAGAGTCTACAACCACCCTGATGGAGCCCGTCCTTCAAGTAAGTGTTGCTTTGTGCCAAAAGTTTATATCCGACTTTTTTAACGAAATTTTGACAACATACTGTACTATGACGTTTTTAGTGTGATTTTTTTTTCGACATACCAAACTATGACGTTTTTAGTAAGATTTTTTAGACATACTTTCCAATGACGTTTTTAGTGAGATTTTTACGGCATACCTATGACTTTTTCAGTGAAATTTTGACGACATGCTAGAGGCTACCATGACTTTTTTAGTCAGATTTTTTCAACATATATACTGACTTTTTTTTAGTGAAATTTTGATGACATACAATCCTGACTTTTTTAAACTAAATTTTGACGTCATGCTATATTATGACGTTTTAAGTGAGAATTTTTTTTGACATTCTATACTATGACTTTTTTTAGTGAAATTTTGACGACATGCTATGCTATTTTAGTGTGATTTTTTTTAACATACTATACTATGCCTTTTTTAGTGACATTTTTACAGCATAGTGAAATTTTTTTTTTAGTCAGATTTTTTTGACATACTATGACTTTTTTAGTTTTTAGGTTTTTACAGCATACTATATTATGACATCCTTAGTGTAAATTTTTTGACATACTATACTATGACTTCTTTAAGGAAATTTTGAAGACATACTATACTATGATATTGTTAAGATTTCTTCAACATAATATATTATGACTTTTTTAATGTAAATTTTTCACATACTATACTATGACTTTTTACTGAGGTTTTTACAGCATAGTATACTATGACATCTTTAGTGTAAATTTTTCGACATGCTATGCTATGACTTCTTTATTGAAATTTTGAAGACCTATTATACTATGACGTTTTTAGTGAGATTTTTTTTGACACACTCAATACTACCACTTTTTTAGTGAAATTTTGAGGACATACTATAATATGACTCTTTTGGTGAGAGTTTTACGGCATACTAACTATACTATGACATTTTTAGTGAGATTTTTTTCGACATACTATTCTATGACGTTTTCTTTGAGAGTTTTTCAACATACTATACTATGACTTCTTTAGTGACATTTTGACGACAAACTATACTATGATGTTTTTAGTGAGATTTTGACGACATACTATACTATGATGATTTTAGTGACATTTTTACGGCATACTATACTATGACGTTTTAAGTGTGATTGTTTCGACATACTATACTATGATGATTTTAGTGACATTTTTACGGCATACTATATTATGATGTTTTTAGTGAGATTTTTTTTGACATATGAAACTATGATGTTTTTAGTATGATTTTTATGACATACAATACTATGATGTTTTTGGTGAGACTTTGACGACATACTTCACTATGACTTTTTTTTCAGTGAAATTTTGATGACATCCTATACTATGACTCTTAGTAAGATTCTTATGGCATACTATACTATAACGTTTTTAGTGTGATTTTATCAACATACTGTACTATGATGTTTTTAGTGTGATTTTTTTCCGACATACTATAACTTTTAGTGACAATTTTCGACTTTTTAATGACATTTTGATGACATACTGTGACCTTTTTAGTAAGATTTTTTCGACATACTATACCATGACTTTTCAAACGAAATTTTGATGACATACTATATTATGAGTTTTTAGTGAGATTTTTTTTTGACATACTATACTATGACTTTTCAAACAAAATTTTGATGACATACTATATTATGACTTTTTAGTGAAATTGTTTTTTGACATACTATACTATAACGTTTTTAGTGTGATTTTTTTTCTTCAACATACTATACTATCATTTTGTAGTGAAATTTTGATGAGATACTATGCTATGATGTTTTTAGTATGATTTTTATAACATACGAAAATAGACCTTTTTAGTGAGATTTTTTTGACATACTATGCTATAATGTTTTTAGTGTGATTTTTTTTCTTCGACATACTATACTATGATGTTTAGTGTGATTTTTACAACATATGAAAATAGACATTCTTAATGAGATTTTTTTCAACATACTATACTCTGACATCTTTAGTGCAAATTTTTTGACATGCTATTTCTTCTTCAGTGAAATTTTAACAATATACTGTACTATGATGTCTTTAATGAGATTTTTTTTTGACATACTACAATACTATGACTTCTTCAGTGAAATTTTGACGACGTACTATACTATGAATCTTTTAGTGAGATTTTTACGGCATAGTATACTATGATGTTTTTAGTGTGATTTCACAACATACCATACTATGACGTTTTTAGTGAGATTTGTACGTGCTATACTATGACGTTTTTAAAGAGATTTTTACGACAAACTATAGCCTACTATGACGTTTCTAGTGAATTTTTTTTTGACATACTATATTTTGACTTTTTAGTGAAATTTGAGCGACATACTATACTATGACTCTTAGTGAGATTTGTATGACATGCTTTACTATGATTTTTTCAGTGACATTCTGACGATATACTATACTATAATGTTTTTAGTGTGATTCTTTTGATATACTATACTACAATGATTTTAGTGTGAATTTTTTTCGACATACTATACTTTGACTTTTTAGTGAAATTTTGGCGACATACTATACTATGATGTCTTTAGTGTGATTTTTACAACATACAAAAATAGATATTTTAGTTCGATTTTTACATCATACTATACTATGACGTTTTAGTATGATTTTTTCAACATACTATAATGTTTTTAATCTGATTTTTTCGACATACTATACTATGACTTTTTTTCAGTGAAATTTTGACGACATACTATACTATGACTTTTTTAGTGATATTACGTCATACTATAATGACTTTTTTAGTGAAATTTTGACGACATACTATACTAATACTATACTATTTTTAGTGTGATTTTTACAACATACGAAAATAGACGTTTTTAGTGTGATTTCCTTTGACATACTATGCCATTTTAGTGAATTTTTTTGCGACATAATACTATGACTCTTTTAGTGAGAGCTGTACGACGTGATTTACTATGACTTCTGACGATATACTATACTATAATGTTTTTAGTGATATTTTTACAACATACTATACAGCATACTATGACTTTTTTTCCGTTTTTTAGTGTGATTTTTACAGCATAAAAAAAAGATATTTTAGTTCGATTTTTACAACATACAAAAATAGATGTTTTTAGTGTGATTTTTTTCGACATACTATACTTTGACTTTTTAGTGAAATTTTCACAACATACTATACTATGACTTTTTCAGTGACATTCTAACGATATACTATACTGTTATGTTTTTAGTGAAATTTTGACGACATTCTATACTATGACTCTTTTAGTAAATGTTGTACGACGTGATTTACTATGACTTTTTCAGTGAAATTTTAACGACAACATATAACAACATATACTATGATGAATTTTAGTGAGATTTTTATGCCATACTTTATTTTTCACGTTACATTTTTATACCATAATGTGCTGACTTTTTAGATGTAGTTGTTTATAATCCCATACTATGTTATCATATTCACATTTTTATTCCATGCTATCATATTACTCTCTATCTACTCTATAAAACGTTCATATCATACTAAGTCATGACTTGTTTTAATCAGTTTTATATCATATTATACTATGACTGTTTTTTTCTTAGTCTTTTTTTTATATCACAGTACACTATTACTTTTTGTAACTAGAAAAGCACTCAGAGAGTGCAGACCTCCGCCAAGTAGGTGATATTCCCTCCCCCTCTGCATCAGATTTTGCAGCCTGCATCGCAATTAGGTTATTTCCATCACTATCATTATTAGGTTATATGCCTATGCCTACGCCCATGTCACTATGGAGACACTGTGGTGTATTTATTTCGTTTTTATTTTTTTCCAACACAGAACATTAATTTCAACTTAAGAATTACAACAATATTAAGCAAGCAGAACAAGACATGCTTTCCGGCCACCAGATGGCGCTATTTTCACGGTCTTTAGAAATTGGAACTGCTGCTCAGGCTGTCAAGATGATAGACTTTATTTATTATTTTATCCACTTTGCTTCAACCGATCACCACCAAAATATTATCATCTGTTTCTTGTCCCATTATCCACATTCCCTGAAAATGTCATCAAAATCAGTTAATAACTTTTTGAGTTATTTGGCAGACAAACAAACAAACAGACAAACAAACAGATAAACAGACCAATGCCAGCGAAAACATAACCTCCTTGGCGGAGGTAATTACATATTTATATCATACAATGCTGGAACATTTTTATTACATTTCTCCCAATCATAATTTTGTCTGAATTTGTTATGATATCATACTATATTATGACTTTTTAAAATCAGATTTTTATATATTATTCTATAACTTTGTGTTTATGACGATTCTGTACAATACTATATTGCGACTTTTTTCTGGGATTTTTTTTTTATCATATTAAATTATGACTTTTTTATATCATACTAAACTATCACTGTTTATAGGTGCAGAACAGTCAAGGGTAACGATAGCTAAAAATCAAACAAAAGTGAAACCATTTACATCACATTTAAATTTCACCACCTCTGCATCGACAGTGCTGTGAAATGTGTAGCTAAAGCTCACTGAGTCACTGGAGTGTCAGACTAAAAGTAAAAGCCTGTTGTATATTTTTTGTCTCAAATTTGAACTGGTTATTTAGTAGCTTATGGGTGTCGACCT